TCCTAACTAGAATCACAGTGGCATTATCATAGTTTTTCATAACAAATCACTTTACTTCATAGTTTCATATTTAGCTTCATATTTGCAGATTAATTTTGTAGCAAGCCACTAGAGTGGGTATGCTACATAATCAGATATGCTAATTCCTTTAGTCATCTTGTTGACGTGTTTACCACCATTTATCAGCCTTTGGCACACTTGAGATAGATTAAAAATAAAAAATATGTCAATCATATATATGTTTTCCAGTCTCTTACCCTAGAAGTTGCAGATTATTTTGCAGGGGGTGGACTTGATACTGATTGGCTGTGTAGTGAAGGTTTCCTTCCTACTGTCTGACCGCCTGACCCACACCTCCTGAGTGCTGTGACTACAGCTGTGTCCTCCATGCTACTGTCATGTTATGGTTGTAAGCAGGCCTGTGTGCTTTAATATGGTTTCCTGAAAGTAATGAACATGTAGTGTCAGAAGTTATTGTCTGTGTTTGCTTTGTTTTGGTGACAAAATGCCTGACAAAGCCACTGAAAGTTAAGGTAAAGAGTTCTTTGGGCCTGTGGTTGGAGGGTGCAGTCCAGTCCACCCTGTGCAGAAGCTCGGCCGCTGGCCTTTCTGCCGCTGCACTCAAGCAGAGACATGGGTGGTGCTTTTCAGCTCCTTTTCTTTTCCATCAGTCCTTTACTCCAGAACAGTAAACAGCATTGTTCCATGGGATTGGCCTTCATTCCTGCCTCAGGTTCTTGCCATCCTGAACCCAAGCCATTAGAATGCCTTGATTGCTTTGTTTTGTATTGATTTTTGTGGACTTGACATAAGTGGGGGTCATCCATGAGAAGAGATCTGGACTGAGAAAATGTCTCATTTTCTTGATGGGTGATTGCTGTGGGAAGGCTCAGCCCACTGTGTGGTACCTCTCTTGGGCAGGAGGTGGTGGGTTGTATAAGATAGCAAGGTGATCGAACCATGGGGATCATTTCTTCATAGTTAATTGAAACAGGTGGACCCAGTCTGCTGAGGTGGTACCATCCCAGGGAGGCACGCATGGGCTGTATCAGACCCAGTCTGCTGAGGTGGTACCATCCCAGGGAGGCAGGCATGG